CATAATGGCCTAACTCCCATCTTTAAAAATACAAACACAAATAACCCACCTGTATTTCCTTCCTCCAAACTGCAGCAATCCCAATAGTAAATGTCAGTGACATTCATTCAGTGCTCAAACACTGCCTTCCCTCAAAGAAGTCAATTAAGCAACTTTGGCCACGACCCTTCAGAGCAGTCTGACACATCTATGGGAATAGCAGCCACACACTGGATCCCTCTCTCAGGCCTTCTGATGAGTCTGCCCACACCACACACCTCTGTTACAACTCACAGTTCCAAATTACTTCCCAATAAAGAAAACTCACTGTAAGGTTGTACTTCCCACCATGTCCACATCTTCGCCCAGGTGGTGTCTGTTTTCTCAATACAAAGGACCATTCTCTGTAGAGCTTTCACTGTGTAAGGATCCCCACACAAATCCATACCCAGGAGCAAGTATTTTCCTTACTGATACTATAAAAAGCCAACTCCACAGGAGGATAAAAATAAAGAATGTGTGTTAAAAGCCCCAAGCTTCCCAAGATGCCTCCCCTGATGGTCCTTAGGCAGCACCACACAGATTTAACAGCACTGCAATACAGTGGTGTTGATAAACCCACTTTAACCCAGCTGTCATTGGAGTGTTTCATGATGCGTTCAGGGGAAAGGAGAGAACAGCCCTCCTCGTATCTCGAGTCACTGGCTGCAGAAAGACAGCTTTCAGTCTTTGATTCTGAACAGTTCATATTATTTGTGTATAAAGTAGCTTTCTGGCTACTTTCTGCCCCATTTTGTGCAAAAAGTAATTGCACTCACACCCAAGAAGAATAAGTACGAGAAGGATAAGTACACTACTTGCCTAAATACTTCACTGTGGTTTGTGCTCTTAAAACTTCAGTGTGACTTTCTGAAAATATGAATTTACATAAAGCATTTGCTAATAACTCAAAAGTTGTTTCCTCCCCCGCAAAAGCCCAGTTATTTTTTAAGGTATTATAAAAGAATGCATACCTGTCTTCATCACCATCAACAGGAATGGATATGCCAAACACAGAGCTAGCAAGACTGTTGATAGGAGTACTTGCAGGTAACTGAAGAGGATTTGCTAGAGTGTCTGGAATGGGAGGCTTCACAAGAGGTTTATTTTCAGCTATAAGAGAAAGGGGTGGCTGAGGTAGGGGTTCTGATTTTCTTCTAGTATCATCAATCTGGCCTACTAAAGACTGGGCCTGGGTCTGAAACTGTCCAAGGTTTGCCTGAGGCAGACTGGCGGGAGCGCTGGGCGCGCCTTGCATCATCGAGTGTCCCACGTGCTGGGGCTGGACTGCGCCGGTGCTTCTGCTGGCAGAAGGGTGGCTCGTCAGCTGGGACTGCACCAGTGTAACAGGGACGTTTGGCATAGTGACAGAAGCAGTGGTGGACACACTAGGCACACTTGTACCGGGCACAACCGCAGGCACGCTCTGAACTCCGGGGACCACAGCATGGGGAGCACCAGGCATTCCTGACACTTGACTGCTTCCCCCCATTGGATGCTGAGTCACAGATTTCTGTTGTCCAAGGCCCGGCTGTACCACACCTCCTGGCTGCGGGACGGCAGGTTGACTGGCCTGTGCCTGGCCACCCTGCAGCAACCCCGACCCCTGGCCGACTGCTTCACCGGGCTGTGCTGACACCCCCATCACTGCTGCTCCCACGGGCGAGGGGTTTTGGCCCATCACCTGCCCCACAGGCAGGCTGGAGGCCACAGTACTTGGAGCAGAACCTGTAGTAGCCTGCTGAACAGCTCCTTGAGACTGCATAATTGTCACATGCTGCATGTATTCGGCCTGGCCAGGAGGCTGCGTCGGCAGTAGGTGCACTGGTGGAATCTGAGACTGAGAATAAGCAAATTGTTGAGGCTGAGTCACTGGTATGCTTGCCTGCTGCACCTGCTGCTGGGCCACAGGAACGCTCGGCTGCCCTACTGTCACATTTGGAGGTGCCATGCCTTTCCCGTTGGGTCCAGCCTGTGCAACACCCTGTGGATTTACCTGTGGCTGCGGTTGCTGTGGCACCATCATTTGCTGACTTGCTCCCGAAGCCCCAGAAAACACAGGCTGAGCAGTACTCTGAGGCACGGCCCCACCTACGGGCTGTTGAGGCTGCTGTTGTTGCCCAATGACAAAACTAGGTTGCTGTAGAGAGGACTGGTTCATTTTCTCTGTCTGGAGCAGCTGTGACACAGCAGCCAGGGAACTGTCAGCTATAGAATCGGGGCCATGGGCTGATGCTGGCACAGCCGAGACCACAACAGAACCTCCTGTGGCACCGAGGCCACTGTCCCGCTCTTGAGCAGCCTGCTCAAAGGTGCTGCTGTGCCTAATGCAATCTCCAGTCCTGCCCAGAACACCACCATCCGAGTCCCGGTCATAGTACTCCATACACGTCCATCGGCCTCGCCTGTAGGGCTCCCCAGTACCGTGGTCCAGCTTGATCACCCTGAAGCGGGAGCTGCACGCAGCAGCCGCCGTCTGAGACACGGAGCCAGGGGCGGCGGGCACAGAGGGCCCCGTGGAGGGCAGGACGGCCTGAGCACTGCCGCCTCCCCCCACGGCAGTGCCAGAGGCAGCAGCTGGCAGGGGCACGGCAGAGCTCTTGGGCACAGCCCCCCCGTTGGGGGCTACAGCCAGCCCAGCAGCAGCCACAGCCAGCTGCCCGTCCAAAAGGAGGTTGGGAGAAACGCTGCTGGGAGTTTCGGCCTCACCCACGTTGTTGAGAGTCTCTTCGGAGGAGCTCCGCTCACAAACGTCCTCAGGGCCGTAGTCGGTGGCTCGGGAAACATCAAAGATTTCAGAGGACACGTCCTCGGTGCGGGACTCGTCCGGGTCGTCCAGGCTCTCGGTGTCCTCGGTGATGCTGCTGGCCACCTGCGCCGTGGTCACGCTGGTGATCTGGAAGCAGCTCTTCTTCTTGGCCGGCATCTTGGACATGTTTCCTCCGCGGGGAGGGGCTCGGCGGCCGCGGCGAAGCGAGCCCAGCGCCGGGCGGGCTGTCACGGCGTGCGGGCCGGGCCCCCAGCGCTACCGCACATCCTCCGGCGGCTTCCTGCGGCGGGCGGGGGGCGGCGGGGCTCCTCCTCTTCCTCCCCGTCCGCAGCCCTCTTCCCGCGGCCGGGTCTCCTCCTCCTCCTCCTCTTCGCCGCCGCTCCGAGCGCCCCGCGTCCTCCTGCGGGCCCGCGGCCCGCCCCGCGCCAGGGGCCCCGCGCCGGCCGGGCGCGGCCCAGGCGGCCCCG